TAAATTCAAGAGAACCTATAACCTGAGTCGCGCCTCCAGCCAAAGCCGATCGAAGATAATGAAACTTCTGAATGTCAGTTATACTTACATTTTGGTGAATTAAAGATTCATAAGTATCGCGAAACTCCAACCAATTTGCATACTCTCCACCAAATGTAAACTTATAGTAGGTAATTTGACATTGAAGTTTTGGTTTGAAATTGAATTATTCGCCAATGGCTGAGAAAGAATTGAAGAATGAGAAGAGACATTATCTTGATTACAAAGAATTTCAAAATCTTTTATCATTTTCTTTGCAATTGAAGTAAGGTTGTAGAAAGAGTCTTCAAATGACTGTCTTTCGGAAATTTTACTTTCTAACTCATCTGTCGAACACTCAATGACAGATCAAATTCAATCATAGTTTGTTCAATTATTTTTAATCTATCTTTTAGTTGAATGATATCAAGATCTGAAATGCCTGACTTCCCCTTCAAATTATCCACATACTTAGAGAATATAGTTAACTTTGCCTTTAATGAACCCCGTTTTCTATTGTTTTCACACATCTTGACTGAACTTTGACAGCGAATCGTATATAAAGAGCAAACACAGTTCCCAAGCTGACCAAAACAGTGCTTAAAGGAAACAGTATGACGATAATAAGGATAGGAATGGACTCACTTTATAAAAGGTTTCGAAGATCTCGCTATGGGCACCGTCCTTGCAGCGAAAGCTGGATGGGCCGGTTACCTGCGGTCTACTAGTTGTCTTGTTTCTGCTGATAAATCATAAGCGATGACCAGCAACGACGCTCTGCTACCAATTATGTTATGTTTTTTTTGCGATAGCGACGCTCTGCTACCAAATTATGTTATTGAAAAGCTTACGTTTACACTTACGTTCTACTAAGAAACTGGGCTGCTTATAGCTTCTAAAACTGTTTTTATTTTGTGAATGTTGTACAATTCCAAATTCAATTATTTTTATAATTAAGTGACGTTTTTCAATTATTTAAATAAACATTGGCGTTACAAAAAAATTAAAAAAGGGAACAAAATAAATGTTGATTTCTTCAAATTCTCAAACAGAATGTTATGGAATCTTTTTAGTACCAGCACTTGCACTTGCAGTGCTACCACTAGAGTAGTTAGATTTCTCTCCTTAATTCAGCCATTAACAACGACTGCTACTTCTACTTGTCTTTTTATAACTTGTAACTGGAAAAGATGTTACTACGAATGATGAGATTGTTCACATGCTAACAAAAGAACTTTACTCAAGAGATACATTTGTTGATCCTTTGGCAGGCTCTAGTTGTTGTTTCAGTTTTTTCTATGCTATCCTACGTTACCAAGTCACACTTCATGTGAGATTTTCACTAGACAGTTTGCAATATCCCAACATGTGTTTCGCTGTATAATAGCTTCCACAGGCTTGTTCATACTGCCTTCTGTTTTTTTTCAGTTTTTCTTTCCTTTCGCTGCTTCTTCAGAGTTTTGGAAGAATTTTCGTGAAGTGTTAACGTCATTGATGTTGCCATACCCAACCTTATGAATATCCATGAGTCATCCCAACTTGTCTTTAAAATCTTTGTGAATTTGTTTCTTTGCATTTTTGTCAGTTACGCGACTCTTGTAGACTTTACCATGTAGTAAAATCTCACCATCAAGCCATATAGTAAAGGCTCACCATTAAGCCATTCGTGGTCTTTTTCTAAGAAACGACTTCCTGTACTACAAGCAAGCCATTTACGTTTATATACCACTTTAAAAGTATAAACGACTTTTTGAAGTTCATCACGTTTTTCCGGGGGGCAATTGGTTTTTTCAACCAATTTTTCTTCCAAATCCTGGAGCTTTCTGTCAAGCAGTCGCTGTGGACTTGCTCAACCAAGCTCGTGCAGTTTTTTTCTTGTCATAGATATAACAGAAGATCCANCAACCATGCATCTATTCATTTCATTCGCCAAACATATATGGAAAAGTAAAATACATACAAATTAATACAAAATTCTACCTATTGTTATTGAATTTCATGTAGTTTTTACCGTTTATAATAACTTTCCGCTGAAATACTTATCCAATAACCTTCAGGTATCTTAAAAAACCAATTGAAATAATAAGAATGATTACAGGACATTTTGACTTTGGGAACGGTGGTTCTGAATTTCAAGACTTCCTCCACCTAGAGGAGTTTTTGAAAACATCTCAGGAGGAAGATTTATTTGCTTTGGTTCGTTCTGGACCCTATATCAACTCTGAGTGGGATTTTGGTGGAATGCCCAGTTGGATAATAAGAAAATCAACTTCTGTCAGAAACTCAGGGGACAAATATTTCCTTTCCTTTGTTAAAGCATTTTTTAACGTTTTGATGCCTATCCTAGCCAACCTCCAATTCCAAAAAGGGGGTCCCATCATAGCACTTCAAATCGAGAATGAATATGGAAGTACAAAAAGGGACGATCAAACGTATTTGCAGGTAAAGTCAAAAGTATATACTTCGTACGATTTCACATTGAATAAGTGATATATACGATCATTCAGAAATTTCAGCTAGGGAGGAAACGGGGTNTAAATGATAATGATATTAGATAGGCTCATATTCTGAAATAATATTGCAGGAATGAAAAATTAGATTGAAGAAAATCAATAGATGCCATAGAAACTGTAAATCTTCCACCAGAACTCGCTTTTTATGTCTACGTGCCATCCATTTTTCCTTCAATTAATCAACCAATTACAACTACATCAGCTAATAGGAAAGATATGTCCCACCCATGTATAGAGAACAGAAGTAGATATTCAAAAAACCGTTTCACCTTCTTACATGGGACGATTTCAACTGAGGAAGATTGATTGACTCAACGAAACGTTGAGGCTGAAAATATTCGTACCAGAAATGAGTTTCAGAAATGTATCTTAATTTTTTCGTTTGAATCGGGAATACCTATTGACTTTCACTGACCGTTCTTGAGTAATTATAGAAAAATCAATTTGTGATGAAAACGAAGAGCAGATGTAATAAGTAAATGATGATTATTTTTTGAATTATTCATTATGTAAATGTTGTTATTAGTATGCAAAATTTTATCTTTTATCGTCGACTAGCGATCCTATCCGGCTTCACACGGGTAGTAAATATGTATGTGTCGTTATGTCGGTCGGTAGCCAGGCGGTTCGACGTGGGTGCTTTGTTCACTCAGTCAATCGGCCGATGTCTGAGTCGATGGTTCAAGCCCCAGGCTGAACGCTCGATTTTCACTTGCTATCGTCCAACCCGTATTAGGAATCTCACGTTAAAAGGTAAGACCTCGTTAGTTTTGACTTCTGAGAGTAGTCGTTCGTAGAGGTGCGATAACTGGTTAACAGAAAAAAACATATTTAAAACATACTTGTTTTAAACATGTCACATCAGCTCATCCATGTAGAAGGTTAACATTTTCACCTGAAGCGTATGCGTTCGAAGTAGTATAAGGGTGGAACGTTATTGTCTTAGAAAAATCTAGAACAGGCCAGGACATTTGAGAGTATTTTTTTGAATCTTTTGAAATGTTTGGGAATAATCTATACTATGTCCATCTAAGCAATAGGGTGCTCCAAAACATTAAAATGCCTAAGGCACGTGATCTCCCACACAAGGCTGCTTGTACAGAGTCGCACTAAGTAACGACCGATTTTTTTTCATTAATATGCGGCTGGGTATAGGACATTTTTTTAGGTGGAGTGTAGGGACACAAATCAGCAGTTTTCTCAGCCGCATCATTACTTGACATTTTTAAAATTTTTAACTTGAAAATACCGTATTTGTACACACCACTGGCGTTAAAACGTAACTGTGGGGCTGAATGAATTGCTCCAGCCGATTGCAGTTAAATCTGATTGGCCATCGTAAGAAGGCTTTTATATATACCCAATACATGTTAATGTGTATGTTGACCATCCTTTGATAACGCATCTATCATTGTTTTGATTACTTTGTTTTTTGGATGGACAGAGTTTAAACAGTTCGGGATATCTCCGGAACATTCCAGATCATTGTGGATCAATCACGGGAGTTATATGGTGTAGTAGCTCTCTATCCACAATCTGTGAAGTTCTTATCAATCATTCAATCAAAATATACTTTATTGTCGGAAAAACTCTTGTTTTGTTGACAAAGTAGAATATACACGTACAGAAANGTCGGAAACACCTCAGATAATTGTGAAAAGTTACCGTTTCCATCTGAAGGGTATGCTCTTGAAAATGGAAGGGTTAAAGATTTACTTCTCTATATAGAATTTCTAGAACAGTTCACAATATTCAAGAGAACTCGGGAGCATTGCACAACATTCCAGAACTTATCGGAACATTCCGGAATGTTCGAGGAATATGTAGAATATTCTGAAAAATTTCAGAACATCCCAGAAACAGTCACCAGTGCTTTTGAATGTTCTGAAACATTGTGGGTTATTCTAATCTTTTTTGTAGTAGGGATATATAAAGCAAGTTACATAGACCTCTATCATTTAATTGATTTTTTTTATTTTAACTCCCACACAACTCCCTGAACGAAACTGGGTATCCAAGCTAGTGATTAATTATAATGACTTTTAATGAAATTCACTTGAATAAAAGTATGGTCACCATCATTTATTTCACATTTGAAAAGCGTCAGTCTAAAATATCAATCATAAAAATGTTATTTGAACATATCTAACTCAAGACATCAGAAAAGGAAAATAAGATCTCAACCTTTTGAATGATTCACTACCTAAAACGCAATTAAAATTATTCTTCAATACGCTTGTCGAACATATCGGTTTGTCGAATATATTTATTTGATGAGAATCAATATATATCCGTCTAAATATTTATCTTTCCAATTACCATGTCTTATGTGATTTTTTTTCTAGGTAACAACACCTTTCAATCATTTTGCACAAAATATATCAATCAATACCCTTAAACCTTCCTCTTGAAACACACCCCATTCATTGGTAAAAACCGTATGAAAATCCGTTCAATGGTTTTTGAGTTTATCGCGTTTAGACAAACAGCAGCTAATTCATTACATATCTTAATGTACGAGTAAATTACTTACACTCCCATAAAGAGTTATTTTCTCATTTTTTAATTTAAATGAATTGACAAATCTACCTTTCTCTCAATTTTTCTTTAAATACCATAATTTTTTTTATGATTTCTAGGCACTTAGAAAAATGATAATAGATCATGGCATAATTGAATTATTATATACCTGCGATCCTCCTCGAAATGGGAAGCATGGAGCTATTCCTGACGTTCTACAAACAGCTAATTTTGCAGGGGATCCCAAAACCATGCTTGACATGTTAGTCGAAATGCAACCCAATAAGCCCAGAATGGCAATGGAGTCTTACACAGGATGGTTCGATCACTGGATGGATAATCATCACCATGGCGCTCCTAGCGCCTACAAAACGCAACTTGAGAATATTTTGGGATATCCCGCATCGGTTAACATGTACATGTTTGTAGGTGAGTAGAAAATCGTCAAGCCTAAAAATATGGTCATCCTTTGGGAAAAATAATAGGAAGGAAGTCACTCACTTATGTCTCCTGAACTGTCGATGGAGGCATGTAGGTACTTCAATCTGCTCAACAATTCTCTAGGAGCTTTTAGGTAGGCCAAGTAAATTAGTCCCATTTAACTTATACTCTTGAAAAGTTTTTGGGGCTCCTGAAAAGGCTCTTGTGTACCTCATTTCACTCTAGTTATCTGTATCGCATTAACAGGGTTTTTGTGAACTTTCGATGAAATCGTTTTAGCTGTTCTTCGGAATGTGTTATGTTTTTTATTGCGATAGCGACGCTCTGCTACCAAATTATGTTATTGAAAAGCTAAAGTCTGGACCGCTTACGTTCTACTAAGAAACTGGGTTGCTTATAGCTTTTGGAACTGTTTTTATTTTGTGAATGTTGTACAATTCCAAATACAATTATTTTCACAACTACGTGACGTTTTTCAATTATTTCAATAAACATTAGCGTTACAAAAAACATAAAAAAAGGGAACAAAATGAATGTTGATTTCTTCAAATTCTCAAACATGCCCCCCGCCTTGGAAGGCCTCACGTATTCTTCCAACATCTAACTGGAAACAGAATCTGGAAGTGGAAATACCTTTGCATAAGATCTCTTGATATCACCAATTGATGTTTTGATCGTAGCGACTCTGCTGACACCGTCCTTTCCGGGATATAGATGAATAATGCGTCCCAACTTTCATCTCAAAGGAGGTAAATTATCTTCCTTTATCAAAACCAAGGAACCAATTTTCAATTCTCCCTGGGACGATTTCCATTTAGTTCTCTGTTGGAGTTCGATGAGCCGGGGTAAAAGGATTCAAATCCTCAAGATCGGAGGAAATGAGAAAAAAGGGCCGTGAGTTTAATACTGCCTCTACCTGCACAAGAACTGTGTTTAACTCTTCGAAAGTCGAATGCGCATTTCCAACAACCCTTTTTAGATGAGCCTCACTTGATTTTATTCCAGCTTCCCAAATCCCTCCGAAATGAAGTGAATAAGGAGGAATCAAATCCCATTTTAACGTTTGTTTGAAGGTGATTGACAATGTTTCGTGATGAATTTCACTAGTTCGGACTTCCATTGTCTACTATATAAAATGATTTGAAATCCCTGAAACAAGTAAAAAAGAATAATTAATTTATATCTGAATATACCTCATACAGGAAGGAAAAAATTGCATCTTGGGTGTTCTTTTCAGCCTGAAATCCGAATTGATTTTCTTTGATGATTTTATGAGCAATAAGGAATTCATTGAGCCTTTTTTTCACTAGTTTTTCAATTATATTTGCTTTCATGTTGAGGGCGTGCTTTACAAAACATGAAGTTCAGAATGTTCGCCTTTTAGAAATTTCTTGCCGAGTCCAGAACAACTGAAAGTATTTCACAAAATTCCAGAATATCACGTTACTGTCTGGAATCTTCGGAAACACCTCAGATAATTGTGAAAAGTTACCGTTTCCATCTGAAGGGTATGCTCTTGAAAATGGAAGGGTTAAAGATTTACTTCTCTATATAGAATTTCTAGAACAGTTCACAATATTCAAGAGAACTCGGGAGCATTGCACAACATTCCAGAACTTATCGGAACATTCCGGAATGTTCGAGGAATATGTAGAATATTCTGAAAAATTTCAGAACATCCCAG